GAGCAATGCATTGGGTGTTTTGGTCCGTATTCACTCTTCCCTCCAGTGTCAACTCATTCGAGTGTTGGAAACTCAGCCGTTTGTAGGCTAAAGGAATCGTCCGTTATTTGGGACCGATGCCATATTTCGGGGTTAAAATTCCCTTCTCTTATTTTTAACTATTTCTGTGAATCTCTTTTCCAAAAGATGACATTATTAACAAATAAAGGTCAACAAGGCGTTGGTATTCTTCTTTAAAAGTCCACTTGACAGTGTAAAAATTAGTGATTTGAGAGCGCTAAAGACTTTTATTTATTAAAAGATTGCCTCCATTAGAAGGGGTTATGTCATTGAAAAGGGACGAATTTCTCAGATTTTTACATGTCGCTATACCGTTTAAGCCTCTCCTAAAAAACTCATATAACGAAGGTCTTATCGGCCCATCCCTAACCATGGGATAACTTGCCCAAGGGCAAAGTCACTTAGCACAGTTTATAATTTGGGTAGCTTTGGAGACCTAATAGCCAACATTCCTTTCTGTTTGCTTCCTTTTTCTCATTTAAATGCTCTCCAACAGTCTGTCTGGGTCCCAATCAGTTACACTGAACATGCGGACACACCCATTATATGGGCAATTTGGACCTTTTAGGTTGTATCACCTCCCGCTTCACTTGCCAAAGGTAGACAATCAAAAGGGGATTTGACCTTGGTGACCTCTAACAGATTAAACACTTACAGAACCGGCAATGGAATTTGGACATTGCTTTTTACTGCTTTTGCTTACCTCTGTCACTAGCATGGTGGTCTGGAGACGGTACATTTACTATGAATCTCGTCAGACGGTTTGGGGGGGGAGTTTGCGGGGTTTATACGAATGGAATCCCACTTAACGATGGAAAGCTTCGGGAACCGAAATATCTCTGTGGTTAGACACACATCTTAAATAAATATAATTGGATGGTGGGAATGATTTTCAAACCTTCTTCCTCAGTTAAATGGTTAGTGGATTCTTTAACTGTTTTAAAACTTTTGGCTTTGCAAAAGTTCAAAATAAGCCTAATATATATGGATGAAGCGGATTACTAGCGAATCACTTAATTGTTCATCTTTCATCCGTACTATCGGGCAATTAGGCCTGCTAGAAACACCACCATCATTTTAGTAGCAAAGTTTAAAGCAAACAGTGAGGAGAGTCAGGGGGTATGGCCGATGATAGGGATACTCTGTCTAGGGGGTAAGAGCGAGTATTTTTTTACCCCCTAATGTTCCCAACGTTTGCAGCCAGTTCTTTAATCTCTTCAGTAAAAGCATAAATCAGTGGCATAAAAACCGAAAATTCGTAAAGTTAATAGTTCAAAATTAAGAAGGAAAAAGTGGAGCAACTGAATAACTTCCTTTACATACTATGATGAGTCCTAAAGATTTTGAAAGACCGGAATGATCACTGAATTTTAGACGTGAAATTGAGTGCCTTATTACCCTGTTGTACTTTTCTTGGAGTCTTTAGTACGATTTGGTAACCACGGTTTCGTATTTCCTCTACTCTTTGATAATAATCGACGTTCACTGCCACCACCCTGTTTGCACTGCCGTGACCTGGTAGGAACCCCCAACCTCTACTGCAGCCTAGTGTTGGTTGTCTGATGATACCGGCATTGAACCGATCCACTGCACAGGAGTCGAACACTAGAGGTGTTGCGAAGATTCACTTGACACGTTTGATAGGTATCTAGCTTGAAAAAAATTACTTAATGAGTCTACGTTCGTCTATCCCCCAAAGACGCATAATTAGCAAGCATCTGAAATTACGTCTTTCCTACAGACGTTAGTTAGTAGACCCTTACTTCTGTCTCGCCGTCTGTCTGTCTGTTTAATTCACGATCACACCAGGTTTCAATAAACTTCCTGTCGCCTTCATCCATGCCTCTCAGTTCGCCTAACGCTGTTTTTAGGACGCCTAATGTAAATGCACCTTTATTTTGCAACTATTTGTCCAATCCAGCACCGGGGGAGGTGGCCAAAAGCAGGTAGGAGAATGGAAAAAAGACCGCAGATTGGCCATCCGATCGCATTTGTGGTAGTGCTACCAAGTTCGAAGGTACCGGTTTGGCTTACAGTCCCGTAAGCGTAGTTGTCATTTCAAATCATCACTTTCACGATGACCATCAAATAAGACCATTAATTTACGAAGTAGCCGAAACTTTGCTTTTTTATTAGCAACCGTCTTTGAAAGTGTTTGGTTCTTTATTAATTACGTAGTTTAATGCGTTTTTCTTCTCAACATCACTGCCTTCGTGTAGGCTTTCAAGAAAGTAGACTAAGATGTGTACTTCAGAAAGGCACATTGGGTTCTGCAGCCAGTCTTGGGAGGCGTCTTGAAATTGGACTATCTCGAATGGTCGGTCTAAAAATTTTTATTGAGTTTGTCTTCTGTGTCAACTCATCGAACATCGTCGAGTGTTTGGATCTTCATTAAGAAAGCTGTTTTGAGAGGGAATTTAGACGTACTTTTCCACGATTATCACGGTTTCCCATCGAAAGTCGCAGTATTACAGTGAAGGAAAATATGTGATATGCGTCATTTCAAAGCGGTTGGATCACAGACAGGGTTATCTACCATCCTGTTACAAATAAAGATGAGTAGGACTCATTAAAAATGGGTAGATTTTGGAGCCTTAGTTGCCTTTTTTTCCACTTCTTTCTTGTTAAAGTCAATAAAACTCAGACCAAACTTCAGAGGAATTAAAATATTCGGGTGTACGTGTCTCTTGTTATGATCTTCATTTACTGCTGTTACAAAACTAGGGTGACCAAGGCGATGCTTTAAGGGCAGCTAATGACAGCCCATCAACAAAGGCAACATTCGACAGAAGTGAGGAAAATTGATCTCTTGGAGACAAAAAAGACAGAATACAAGTTAATTTTACTGGTGACTGTCATATGAACTCCGTCACTTCACCTTTAAATGGCCTTGTCTCTATCATCCTCCATATCACCTTGGTCGCAGTCAACGTCTTCCATACATCACGTGGTTCACTGCCAGGAATAAAGGTGGCTGGAATGCAAATTCTTGCTTAGCATGCCTTTAGTGGTCTTGTCATCGCTGTCACGACGAGATTTGACGATGACATTTTACTGCTTCGCTTGTGATTTCACCAAAGGTCAATTTTGTTTCCGCAAGAGTTCAAAAGCTTATGTTGTATTTAGACATTAACCCACAATCAAATAGGACGTCCTTACCTTTGAGTAAGTTCATTTCCCGATTGCCTCATCAATCATCATGAGGTTCTGTAATAATCTCAAGACACGTTAGTCATGCTCCACTTTTATGATTCCGTTAATACAGGTATCGTAGGGGTCCTCAAAAGTAAAAGGAAGAATTGGAATAGTGGGATAAAGGTGTCTGCGAGGTATTTTTGTAGTACCTCAAGTCATCTTTGAAGACGTAATAAAGTACACCACTGCAAAAGAACAGTCTATAATTAGTGCAGAGAAGGACAGAAAGGCTAGTGAATATGTCTAGGCCGACTCAATTGCTGGATGGATCTTCTTGGATTAATCGGGTGTGGCAAAAACTTTGTTCCTAGTTTAGGTTTTCGGAATACGGGATTAGTGTCATTAATAATGACAAAATATGGGTTTAACAGGCCTTCTTTTGTCAGTCTGTACAGACAAAGCCATTTTAGGATAAAAACCCCACATTTTAGCGTTGAGATTTGGGTTTTCTGAGTGTTTATGGCAATTTTGACTCCATCAGCTTGTCGTTGTCACTGATGCACCAATCCTCTTGTTACCCATGAAAGTATGACAAGGCAAAATAATAGAGGAGAGTGGCCTGGGAAGTGGTATAACTAAGGCCTGGGAAATAGTAGGACTGACCAAAAATCTCGCGCTCCGGGAAGACTGAAGAGGCCTAATTGTTAAATTTAAACAAGCTTCGCTTGCTTACATTTTCATATAATTTCAGTAAAAGTACGTATTTGATAACCAAATTATTTCGATCTACGTGGCTACAAAGCTTATTCTCCTTTTTTGAATTAAATAAAAGCATTGAATTTGTGCCACTGATTGCTAGTTCCTACAAGTGGGAGTACTTCGTCATGAATCAGATGCTTCCGATTGACTAAACATTCCCGGCAATATAAAATTACCAGGAACCTTTTTCTTTGAGACAGAGCCAGCATTTCCGACAGTAATAGGGATCGACGAGTGGGTTGGTGATGTTTAAAAAGGGTGAAAGTGGTGGGATTCCACTGGTTTTATTTGGTCTCGGTTCCACCGAATCTGAAGGCATCCATGTCAGGTGCGTTTCGCTCGCTTAACGAAATATACACCTGTATGGACGGAAGCTTGAATGTACCACTACCTATGTTCCTAAGGTCACATTCTTTTTGTGAATTTCGCCATGAATAGTGAATTCCGGACTCTCAACGAGTAGCTTTTGAAATTGCACGTGGAGGGAAAAGTAGTAAAATTATTTGCATTGTCACCAGAGTTTGAATGCTTCTTTTGGACATTTTTGAACAGATGGAGTATTTCTGAGACATGATTGCACTAGTAATACTGCTTATTTTTGTAAATTTCTCGTTTTACTAGTCAGACTAGCAATCCATACACATACTGCCAGTGTCTGGCTGTTTTAAAATAGATTAAAGGCGCCGCTTTATTCAGAGTAGCAGGTAAGGCGGACTACTTAGCAAATGTTGGGATACTAGACAGTAAGGGAACGCAGGAACGGGCTTTAATTTTAACCAACACGAGGTCCATTTTCTCTTTTTTTTTTCATTTTTAGGACATCGTTGACTTCTAATGGATAATTATAGGCATGTTTTGTTGAATTACCAAATCACAACGCAATTTTAAATTCGGTTCAAGGTCACGCGAATTTGTTTGGCCGAATTCACCTTCAGCTGGCCATTCCAGTGAAAACTCAAAAAGGATATTAGTGATATATGTCCACTTTAATGCTTGAACCATCTTAAAGTAATAAAACCATCTAATACACTTTTGTTTCCTTGCAGATGTACCGAGTATACTACACGGAAAATCCTAAGCTGCCATTGGCTGATTGGAGCGTTAAATTGGTTCAGGTGGACTCAGCCCTGAGCCAATCTGATTTGACCGGCAGCACCAGCACTCTAACGCTGTTGACTCATTTGCGCACAAATGCCACCTATCATATTCGTGTCAGTGCTTCCAATATCAAAGGGGATGGACCGATTTCACCGCCGTACCCCGTCATTGTTAGACCTGGAGGTTTGTGAGATGTGACCTCAGCCTTATAAGTTAATTTAGTTGGTTAGATAGGTTAGCTAATCCAAGGGCTGAGTTATTAATAGTTTGGTTTGATTGGTAGCACAGATCTTAAAGTATCGTTTTTTTTGTTGAGGTTACTGATGACCCTGTGAAATATTCTCTGAATAATAGTACTACCTCAGAATGACCAGATCCAACACGCTTTAGCTTGTGGTAATGGTAATAAATTAACCAGGAAATTAGTCGACTTGGAACGCATCACATTCGCCGAGGTGTAAGCGAGAGCAAGAATTTGTACACTTATATCGGTGAGCTCCTGTGAAGAGTTTTGAAGTGCTTAGGTGTTGCAGCTCCTCCACGGTTCTACATCCAGAGCATAGTTGATGTCTAAAACAGACTCAGCAATATCATAATGGTCGGTAGGATAAATTGCCCAAGTTGACCAAAGCATTTTTCGGTAGATGAGACTGTGCAGATGTCCATTTTCTTGAACATAGTCCTCTTCGACAGTCTGCAGTTAATGCTCCAATGGTACTTGATTTCATTGGGCCTAGACCGACGGTTAAGACAGCAGTGGGCATCAAAATGATCCTCGTAATGCAGATTTGCTCGTTGGTAATCCTTTTAACTCCATTATAAACAAAGCATTATATTGAATTTAATGATGAAAAGAGCTAGAAAAGACACAGTAATGCTCTATTCACGATTCTCACAGGTTACTTGAGAGAAGCTACTCTCGTTGAAGCATGCAATGCCTACTCCGAGCAACTCTCTTGAACCAGCGGGAAATGTTGTTTTATAACTCCACAGCAAAGCCTTTTTTAGCCATTGTTTGTCCTGTATTCACAATGACCCTAGTAGTAGTATTTGCCCAATCTTCGATATTGTGAACATTTGTGCTGGAAACCCTCTTAACAGTGCTCCGAACAAAGCAGACCAGATGATTTGGATCAAGGGACTTGTAGAGGTAACATAGTCATGAAGCATTCCACCTACCCACTTCTTGCTCTTGCATTTTAACTGAGAAGGAGTAGAATCCTCTCGAAACGTGTTAGGTTTTTCCTGAGCAACTCTCTCGATCTGGGGCTTGACAACTTACTAAGGAAAATCGTAGTAGGTTACAATGATATTCAATAACCTGTCAAAATTCCATACAATGGAAATTTGGAAATAATTTGATGACAATTCGGTATTTTACAACTTTTAACCGCTTATGATAGGGATCACGACTCATTTTTTGTCCAAGACACGAAAAATTTGGTGCCACTTATAAAGGGTACATTCTCAAATTCTAAGTTAAAACTGTGCCCGTGATAATTCCTTTCCTTTACAATAGGCTCTTTCATTTAAAAGCACTTTTATTTAGCTACTTAATAGAAGACACGCCCCATACTCTGAACTTTTGGCGATGTCATAATTTCATAAGTCATTCCCATAAATAATTAATAAGAGTCTACTTGTGCATCGGTCATCAAGTTAATTAGACGCTTTACAAGTTTGAAAGCCTTTATGAAATGTAATAATTGTTTTTTACTCCGATTTAGCCTTGCCGCCGCCAGTGAACTTCAAAGCCGTCTCCAAATCTGCCCATGAGGTGTCGCTTCACTGGGATACTCCAGACACCCAACAACGCGAACCTCCTTTGGTGAATTATGAACTCCTCGTAACTCCTCTGGATGGAGAGGGAAACATGGAGGCAACTTCTCGGCAAATTTTCATTGAACCCAGTTTATATAACTATTTGGTGAATGGCCTTTTACCAAATACAAAGTATGAATTCCGTCTGGCCGCAGTATCCGAAACCGGTGCCGGCATTCAAGCGGAGACCACTGCAAAAACGAAGGAATATGGTATGTTGACTTTTTTTGTGATGATGAGTGGATTAGCCGGAGAAGAGGTGATCGGCGTTCGATAGAATGATGATTGGTTGATGTTGAGTATTTTAATCAGCCAATAAGATTAATGCCCTAAAGGCCGCTTTAATCCGTGTTCCTTTGGCCATATAATATGGAGTCGGAAAAAAAAACTTAAAATTCTCTTTTTAATTTACTGATTGAGAAAAACTTGCTTTGACCGTAAAGAAGGGCGTGACAGAAACCGCCAAATAAAAAGTCTGGCTCGTTTTTGTGCTGCAATGGCGGCACCTCTAATACTGTAAGCAGTCCAAATACGGGACACTTGGAAGAGGTGGCAAGGACATAACCACACTTGGGTGACCTAAAAGTGGGTAGCTTGAAACGCGTCCAGCGATGGTCATGTGTCAGGCGATTGCCATCTCTGTGACAACAATTGACAGGCCTACTGACAGATTTCAGGTAATTTACAAAGTTGGATAAATGAGTGGAAGGTTTACAATTTTAGTCAAAAAGTTTTCACAGTCGTTTGATCTAAAAATTAAGGGCATCTTTGTGGACTTACTTGATTCTTCCACAATGTTTTTTGACATCCCCCTCAACGACGTAAGAAAGTCATCAAGTTACATAACCATTAAACTTTTAGATCATTCTTTACTAAGTTGTTCAAGCAGTGTGCTGGAAAAAGGTGAGCAAGTCTCTCCAATTAGTCCTAAATTCGTCCACTGCGTCTAAGTGCAGGCTTCGTATCTATCATAAAGCCTTGTAAGTAAAAACAATGGAAAGTAGGATATGGAGTTTACTGATTTTCAATTTTTGTCAAAGCATCTCTGTCTACTCCAGAAGAAATTTTAGTTTCTATTTATAAGCATGAATTACTATTTGACACTGAGGTCAGAATACCAATTTTAGGATCAAACTTGACAGGCAGAATGAATTGCAGATCGCGTAGATCATACATACCTCTAACTTATTGAAATTGTCAGTTAGTCAGTCAATCGACGTCAGTAAGTATTCTCCCAGTAGTATTACCTAAACCGTTATTCTGGAAAAGAATTTGTAAAATTTATGAACAAAGTTTTGAATTTGCAATTTCAAGCATCGCTTAATTTCGGCCCTTAGTTCCCGGACCGCCGAATCGAGTGACTGTTGAGGCGACAGGAAGTGATCGCTTGCGGGTCACGTGGACACCACCGAAGGAGTCAATTTTGCCCTCCCTTCTTGTCAATATGGGACAACGGGCGAACGAACTGCGGATCGCCTTCTACGACATTGACATCCGCACTACTGATGCCAAGGTAAAAAACGTCTCAATGTAGGCTTGTACAAAGGTCAGGTATTTAAGGTCGCTTAGGGTCAAAGTTTTCGTCATTTTAAGCAAAATTTAACCATCGGATGTAAAGCCTAGAAAGACTTTTTAGGAAACCGATTAAATGAGGTCAAAAGACCGACTATTCCTTTAGTGCCAGAAGCTATCGTTATTATTTTGGTGCGGACTCCTCGAACAAATATCATGACTTCTTTTCGATTAATTTAAAGCTTAAATTTGGATGTTGATTCGTGAAACTGTCATTATTGAATTGTTTTTTTTAAGAAAACGAGGAAAATTTTATAATATCCATCTCGAAAACTAATTGACTAATTTTACAGTGCACATTTTGGAGTATCGGAAGGAAATCAACTGCCACACTTTAAGTTTTCGTTACTCTTACATGACACTAGAGCTCACATTACCGGACTGCTCGAAGTCTAAAACAGTGAATTTATCTCCACCCTACGGATTTCTTCCACCAACACCACTTCGGACAATTATGATTGCCATAAACTGATAATAAACGCATGTCACATATGTGTGACGTTGAATCTAAATAAGGAAACGGGGACGTTCTATAGTAACTATTCCACTCTAAGTTAAGCTAATACATTTTAATTTATGTAAGCCTATTTCTTATATTTTACTTCATTTAAAATCAAATGAACAATCAGTATTGAATGATTGTGTCTGCGCTTGCATTTTACCACGCATACACAGCAAGCGCGATCTTCTGGGGACGGAGGGATGCTTACCTTGGGACTGTGATTTGGGTGATAAATAGACCGTTTGGGCGACAATAACCAACGATACGCTGGTTCAGTTAAGTAATATTATAATCAAATTCAGTAGCTCCTTCTCATCAAAATTCACTCGGCAAACAATTCACCAACACTCTGCGGTCTTATAACCGACATGAACGAGCCGACTCAATTTGACAGACTTCACGATGTCCATTGTCTATCACCCCTAATACTTGATGGTGGGTGGGAAGTACGTGCTCATTTCCATCCAATTCGCCTCCCTGCTCGATGTAGATACAAACGTTTGCTTTCATCATTCAAGTTGAGCGGTAACAAATGATGTGCCTAACGCCCTCATTTTGAAGCATCTGTGTCACCGTTGTCAGCTAAATCTTCATTACGTGAACTGAATGTTCAACCCTTCACTTTTAGGTGTTTCATCCCCGTAGCCACACCCATTTAAAATGCTTCTGAGTGATAGGTTCCACCAAATAATTCTTTTAGATTGCTAATGATTTCGTTGAGAAATAACCTTCCCCATAAATCAAGATTATCAAAATACGCCTCGGTAGGGACACATTTCCCAGTTTTTCTTTCATCCAATCCAAGGCACCGGATAACTCAAACAAATTTATTTTGCATGTTTAAGCTAGGTAAAGTGGCAGGACAAAAACCAGCTGCAAGAATAAAAACCCACTGATGCAAGTGGAGAGCTGCAGTAAAAGAGTGACAGCTATTTTTTACTTCCTTCTCTCCATCGAAAGTATTTAGCTGAATAGGAAATGGGGTAGATTTACTGTTTCAAGGGACCTAAGGTAAAATTTTCCTTTCTCCATACATTTCGACAATGTTTTTCTAGTCTAATATTCTACGCATGCGTGACACTGATGGTAAAGGTCGATGATATTGTTGTTAGTAAAACTAGTAAAATGCGGAGAAGTAATAACTGGCTAATTTAACAATTTATTTTTTAACTTGGTTTTTTTGCTTTTAGCATATTTTCTTCTAATCAAATGTGTCGCGTATATGTGACGCTGTCCGTGAACGACTTAAAAGAAAGTAGATGATATTATTGCTGGAATATAAAATATTTGCAAAATTAAGGGCATATGGAATCAGCTAATTTGGCAAATTGCCTCCTTTTTTCTTGTTTTTCTTTCTTTAAATCAAATAAATTAACTCCTAACCAAACATGTCACGTATGTGTGACGCTGGCATGTAGACCCTGTTATTACCCGAAAGTAGAAGACTTGCGAAACTGAAAGTGTGAGGGACTAGTAGATTTAAGAAGTGCTTTTATACTTTGTTTATTATTTTAAATGGACTAAATTACCCTCTAATTAAATGTGTCATGTATATGCGACAGCGGTAATGAACGAGTAAAACTGTGGTAGAGTAACTCATTACCGGACTGTAGAAGACTTGCAAAACTAAAAGCATGAGGAATCGGACATCCTTAAAGTTTGTCTACACTTAAAATAAATACCTAAATGGGAAAGGAATTTCATTGGCTTATTTATCCCCCGATTTAATGTGCACACCCGACTAACCAATCAGAAATGAGATAAGGAAAAGTATTACACTTCAGACCTGATTTAAAGAAAATAGAATGAGGTTAGGGCAATTTTAGATAGTGGCTTAGAGTTCTTCACATAATAAAATAAAATGTCGAAAATAATTATATAGTTCAGGAAAATTAATTGGACCGCAATAATTTTGTATACAATGGAAGAGTTTTTAGAGCACTCTAAAAAAATACCAAAGTCGTCATTTGAAATCTAACTCTTAAGTGCCAGGTAAGGTTTTTGATCAAAATTTCTTGAAGTTTTTGAATAGAATAATATCCGTCTTGTGGGAATATTTTCACATAGTCGTTCCTCCTTTTCACATTTGTCCATTTTATTACAACATAACTTGCTGAAAAAATTTCATAATTTCTTTTTTAATGTGAAACTTACACCTTTGTGGAAATTCCAACTTGTAACCATAAATTATTTAACACTGAAGACAGAATTTGTTGCCGAAAGTATAAACGACTTCGGTGGCTGGAAGTCGCAGAAGATCCCGCCATCCACGGTGGATGCATTTCTTTGACACCGATGGAACTTAGAGACCACTCGGAGAGATAAGATCTTCCAGTAGGAAAGGGAGTGTATCATCGTCATGCAGGAAGACGGGAGGTTGTCAGCATAGGCGACTTGCAAGACCTATTTAAACTTGGGATTGTTTTGTCGATCTCAATGAAATGATTAACCATTTTGCTATCATTATTTAGCATTATTTTCAAATATATTTGGCGACATTTTCTTTCTTCTGACAAAGAACTTACAAATCTCTTTCAGGGTAACTGGCTAAGTGGACCGCAGTATGGAACAGTGGACCAACAAAGACCCCTAAGACAACAATCAACCTCGGAGCGAAAAATTGAAGAGGCACGAGGCAAATTGGCATATACGAGGGAGATCGCTGGCCTCCGTCCCAGCACTTATTATGTCGTTCACATCCGTGCTGTTTCCAGATCTGGGTCGGGTGATAGAGCCAAATCGAATCCCACGATGACTTGGCCTTTGCGTGAGTCGAAATACATTACAACGTCCGAGCCATCTCTCATGACATTGCAAGCCATACAGCTGAAATTGTTCACATAAATTACTGTCAAATTGTCTTTGACATTTTCTCTTTTAATCGTCAAATTTCTTTGAGTTGATTTCAGTTTGCTGCAAAAGACGAATGATAGAGTAGTCCCATTCAGCATTAAACAGCTCTCTTCTACTTATGGTGTCAGTTTGGCGTTTAAATTACACCAAAAGATGTTGAAAGGCTTTCGACCCAGCAAGTAGCTTTGTTATGAGCTCCACAAAGAAGATTTTGAACGAATAACTTAAATTCTTTAATCCGTACTCTTCGAATCTGTACTTCATAGCTCCACATCGCCCAACATCCCTGAAACTGCGAACCGCGGTATCACCAAATTCAAGGCGTCGAATTCTGCGAGTGCAATGGGGACCTCCGCTGCAGGAGAAAGTTCCCATGGGAGGATTCAAGTATCGCGTTCAATGGAGGCTTCTTATTCAACCAAAAGGTACAGCGGAATATGATAACGCAAATCTGGAACCCGTGTCACATGAGAGGGCCAAGGAATTGGGTATTATGGAGGAGTTGATTGGAGGTGAAGAGAATGTGACGGAACTCAACTGGGACTCACCTGCAGGAAGACTGAGTAAGATTTAACTTTATAGAAAATGTGACAAAACGCAATTTAATGCGAGTTGTCAGTGGCTTCATTGATCCTATTTTAGTTGGTGGGCTCTCCTACGAGTTGCGAGTGGCCACAATGGACGAATATCAGACGGGAGAAAGTGTCATCGGACGGATTGAGCTGCCAGATGACGGTGAGTTGCCTTGCCCAAGTTACACCCAAGTGGTCACCTGACTGCTGTCCTGAGTCTGGTCTCGATCGATAAATTTTCGGGGGCAAGGTCCGATCGATAATTTTTTTTGGCCTTAATTACGACCAATAAATCTGCGCCGTGCGGTGCGCCAGGCTTCACGAACTCACCACTCGACAAATGACCCTTTGAACTTGGCGCTGTTAAATTTTAATTTTTAAAAGATTTGAAGATACTAGAAGAGTGGGATTTTATGAACTGGTTTTTAATGGATTAAACATGCAAAAATTCGTACAATTTAACCGACTGGGAGGTTTTGGCAGCTACACTATATATCAGCGGCAAAATTTATTTTTAAATAAAAGAACGGTTATCGATTCGGAGAAGGCTTTTTTAATTTTAGGGATGAAATTATTTGCCCGCAGAGGTCAGATAGTTTTCTTAAAATTTCAAATTCACGTTAGCCTTCTATCAGTAGGTTTGGTACATGCCTAATGTTCCATTCAATAGATTAAAGTATGACTTTAATGGATAATTATGCACTAAACGATTTATTCCCCAATAACCTACCAAAATTTTCCTCTGATTTTAGTCTCAGATAAATTTTCAGTTTATCTGAAAGGGAAAATGTTTTAATTGTCGCCAAATGCTAAACGCCTTTGACTTTTTGTAAAAACAATTCTTCCTTTAATAAATTTGTTCAAATACTTAGCAAAGTTGCTCTTAAAAGGCATAAAATTACTTTCTTTGAAATTAGGACTCGCGATCAAATTGATTTAAATCCTCTATTAAATTATATTTTTATTCGCGTTATTTATAAAAGGGGAGCTGCTCTGCTGTTAATGTTGCAAAACAACAAAAACACCTTGTATGGAAAAAAGTTGTTAGATGAGTACTTTCGTAGCTGCTTTCAAACTGGAAAAGGAAAGACCACTTAAATAAGGATAATTTTATCAAAAGCACTTTACAAAAATTCTCAATGAAAAATAATCGTTCAAGTAGTTCTCTTTTTCAACTTCACTTTCGTTTTGAGCTGTAGGGTTTCTTTTTGCAGGAATTTCAACATATTTCATCATTTAAACAAAAATCAAATAAAGGACTATTTTTTTATTTCCTCTTATTCTCCAATCAAAATAAATTTTGCACTATTTCGTATGTCAAGAAACTGACGAACAAGCGTTACAACACTCATCTCTAACCAATCGGTTTCGCTACGTTGCTGAGATTTCAAGCTTAAAATGTACATTTTTACTTAGAATTTCAACATTATTTGTCATAAAGGCTGTCAAATACGAGTATTTTTTGGCAGCAGCAGAATCACTGACAGGGTGGAGACCAAGAAGGTACGGATTGTAGTCTCAAGCAGATATTGTTTTGTTATAAAGCCTTCGTGATGTCTCCAGCGTGACCTTGTCAGTTATGACGACAAAATTCAGTGGAGTAGAAACACACCATTAGATGGAAATAAAGATGATTTCATGAACTTTCATTACAACCAAAATAAGCTCCGATTCAGTGATTGTATTTCTTTCCATAGTTGTAGAAGAGTTTCATCTATTATATCTTCTCTTGACAAATTGTCTGACACAGGTTACCTCCTCTAAGGCTCTTTTACAATGCTACTCATAGAGGAGATTTAAAGACTGGTAGCATGAGTTTTGACGAGAGTTTCATGCCGACATCACAAAAGGAGATTTGTGAAAGACTGAAAGAGTCCCCCTTATTGTTGAAATAATTCCTTTTTTGACCTTTGCAGTCCCCACTCTGCCCCCCTCTGGTGTTCGTATCGACACCACCTCGCCCCATCTCCCCCTCCACTGGAAGGCTCCACCTCTGGAAGCTCGAAATGGGCATCTAGTAGCCTACGAAGTAGAATGCTCTTGGGTTGACGCGTCTCAGAGTTTCACAGATTCCTGGCAGACGAGATCTATCAAAATTATCCCAGAGGATTCTTCTCCGCCTTCAACACTTTTTTGGCCGCCAGGTCGTGTTTCTCTGCTGAACATTTCCACATTAGCTGCCGCCTCCTTTAGAACTGTCTATCGAGGTCGTGTTCGCGCTTGGACTCCAGCCGATGCAGGACCATGGTCGGAATTCGTATCGTTGAATCTAAAAAACCTCGGTGAGTTGCTTATGTCTGCTCCTGGAAATGCTTTTGTGTGAAACGTTATGCTGTCTTCCATTACCCGTTGGAGAGAATGAAAACAGACGGTATCCAGTATCATTGATTTAAAAGAAATTCCTAGACTCATTAGTCCTTGTTTTTTGTAATAACCAAATCTCCCATTTTGATGGCAGGCCTAATGCAACGGTAAAGATCAAAGGGCAAAGAGGTGGAGATAGTCAATCAAACTGTCCCTAAATAACTTTCCCGATTACGAGTCTGTCAAGCTAGTTTAGCCACCTTTGTCTGCATTGACTTCAAATGGGATCCTTTTTCCCTCATTTAAATTCATAAATGAGAACTTCAACTGAAAAGCTCTTAAAATGCTAAATTTTGATCTCTTCTCGGCAAAATGACATCATAGAAAGTGGATTCCTGGAAGGAACAGGGTTTTTAATGTACAAAAGGCCTTGCAAGCAGTCAACATTAATTTGCACCGCTAAGGGAACGACGTATTACCGAGACGGAGGACTGCAACCCATTAATTTGAAGGGAGTACGTAGGTAAAGACACAACTTAAACAAAAGCAGATACCTTTGCTAAGGAGTCTGGGAAGGAGTATGTACAGGTCGCACAACCCTGTAGAGCATGTGGCTTTATTGCCATGAGTTTGATGGAACAACCTGTCCCAACTTCCAGCGAGTGGTCAAATACCTTCGGTTGTTGATATATTGGCATTATCAAGCACGGATAGGCATGATTACAACAGTGAAGTACTATTTAAATCTTTGTATCATAACATGGTGGCTGAACTTGGGTTGATGTTCCTCGAATGTGTCTACTTGACGAACTGAATGGAACCCAATTCCAATCTCTTGGAAGCTTTTTGTCGAATTCGGGAGAATCATTCGCAGAAAGTGTGGTTTGCGGAAGCACAACGTACCTCCACCAACTTCGCTGTGGCGAAGGGTCGCTTAAACATAAATGTATCAGATTAAGGAGAAACGATCCATTACTCTCCATAACGAGGAATTGCATATTAATGATGATCAGGATTGTTCGAAATGTAAACATTTGCTTACGCCTGTGTCAAGTACGGAGGCGAAGTGGATGAAGATAAGCACTGACTTCTCGCCCGTCTACAATGGACGCTGAAGTCTATCAGTTTGGTTGTCTACTCGTTCACGTAGATCATAAAAAGGCAATGAGTTAGTGGGTTGTTAGCCGAGGGACTTGTGATGGGAAGGATATTTTGCATTTCATTCCAGTGATTGCTATGCGTACAGTTCTGAGGTACGCATCTCCTCGTTCCCAGAAGATGGTACATGATGTGTGTGGCTGTGTGCTTGCGTGTGTGGTGGAATTTCGACGCAGACGCAATCATTCACCATGGATTGCCCACTTGTTCAATGCCAAATAGCATAACTGAAAGTCGAGCAATAAAAGTTTCCACAAGGAGGCATTGCAGTTCTCATTAGACAGTATAGGATATCATACCTTATATCCCAAATCTGAATCTTCAAAAAATAGGAGGAAGAAGGAAGGCGATACTGCCTCCTCCCTATTCTCCCCATATTTGTTTACCTTAGAAAAAAATCAACCCACAGGATGTTTCATCAAGTCCTTAGCAATTTGCCATTTATCCAAAATGAATTCCAATTCATCTCAAATGCGAAGACTCCATTTTCTTACAAACTTGTCCTTCAGTACGCATTGTCTCTGGCTTTGAAGCCTGATGGCTAGGGAATTAAAGCAAGTATTGTTCAAGGAAATAAACAAATACGACAAGAACTGTTCGTTTTCTACCTTCCAACTTCCTATCTATCTTGTTTTTGTTCTTTCTGGAAAAGAGAAGGAAGTATTCGGCAGTTTTTGCCGATCCTATATATTGCGTGATTAACCAACCCTTTTGTCCGCCTTCGGATGGATGAAGAAGTGAGCGCTTTGCTTCATGCAATATGAAAGCCTTCCATCTGACTGCATTCTATTTGATCCCGTGCGTGATTTCTATCGCCAGATTTCTCGCCAACATTTAATTGTCTCAATTTCCTCCTGTATTTCTCCCATTACTGTTTATTTAGGGTAGAAAAATGCCTTTTGAGTGCCTTTTTATGCTGTCCATTTGTCTCACAAACCTTACTAGTGCCAAAGGAACCAACTTCCGTGAATGCAGTCTACATCGAGAAGAAGGGTGTTCTCGTTACCTGGGCAATGCCTGAGGGCTTTATACAAACCTCTCACCAACGTGAGAAAGCAAGGAGTAAAACGAGCGCCAAGTCCATCATCTACCGCCAGTTTGTTGTGGAATATGCCAAACAGGTGAACATCGCACAGCCTACACTATGGATGGCTTCGAAAACTGCGGGACCACAGACAAGTATTACACTAGTATGTCCTTTGTCTGCTCCTTTAAATTAGTCAAAATGCTGTTGTGGTATTTAGGACATCTCTGAGGCCATCCTGAAGTATGCAAATCCAGAAGAAGCTGGAGGACTAATGACTAGCCTATCACCGGCTTGGAGGCTGAATCGCATTGATTAGAGCGCTTTAAAAAAACCTTCCCTTCCGTTTGTTCACCACTGTCGTCCATGTGCTTGTCCATTACCTGTCATTCATTTTACAATGCTTTTTTCCCCGTTTGGCATGTGCTGGCAAAACGCAACTAAGGTTGCATCAAACTTACTGGGTCCAATTTCGCATCGTTTCACACCCGCTGCAAAGTGAGAAAGAAGAGGAAAAAAATGTCTAATTAAGAGCTTTTATTTATGTTGTCTCTAGGTCGTTGGCCTTGCCTCCCGGGAGGGAGAGTGAGTTACACAGAGGGAGAGGGAGACAGGGTTAATTGAATTTGATATTCAGCACCACAATTTAGTGTACGTGGGTGGTTTTGACGTTAGTTAAGATAAAACGGTGATGTAAATAATTCAACGAGTTGCAAAGAAAGTTGCAACTTTCTAGGTGGATGGGCCGAGAAAATTTGCCTGGATTTTGCCCAACGTTTTTAGCATTCGGCGCACTGTGTCTGGGAGAATGGTGGCATAGGCGTGACATGAGCAGAGCCCCATACTTCCGTGGCACAGGCGAAATCGTGGGAATGGTAAAATCATACAAAACTATACAAAGGGAACAACTAACAGCCTTCGTCCTGTTTTGAGCTCCGAATCTGGCACTCCCAGTGATCACTCTTTTGTGTTATCCTTACTGAAATCAACTGTGAGAGGGAAACAAGAGAGGGATGGGAATTCACTGGAAGCCTGAAATCTCGTAGATCCTGAAAACTTTATTCATCATAACTTTTGTTGACAAGTAGCGCTTGAACTTGTTTCACCATGTCCAACAGCTAGCTCACGCCATGGCTCGACCTCTTTTCCTATGATCTTTTGCATATCCCAACTTGTCACTTTTAATGTTGTCCATTATCACGAATGGCACCTACGGAGCCAAATTATGAGAGACTGAAAAGGGTAAAGTATCTTTCCGAAATGTCACAATAAACAATTTTCGTATTTTTCGTCCCCATGCAGCCCATTCTTGAAAATCCCGAAAATTATGTCGTGCGTGTACAATCAGTTGGAATTGCCAACTTGCACAGTGAATGGTCGGCTCCAATTTTGGTTCAGAAAGTACATTCAACAGATTCTATGGCTGTTGAAAACCTTAAATGTCAAGCTGTCACTGAAAATGGAAGTAATGCTGAGCTGGAACTCACTTGGAATCTTGTGGAACTGCCCACCGCTCAAAGAATTATCCACTACTTGGTAGGTCAGCATCATTTTTTTAAACAGCGAAAGAAACTTTAACCATATAATTCGAATTTTTCATCAACTTTAGGTCAATTACACCGGTGGAAGGGTCTATCTTAATGCAGATGGCCATCGTATCCGAGAATCGCAGGGGGAACGCGAACAATCATTGCGAGCCCCTGAAGTCTCCTTCGGTATGGTCGTACACCGCCTCGTTGGTCTGAGCTTCAATAGTGCCTATCAGGTCGACGTACTTCCCGTTTTTAAACGTTCCATGATATCTGGAGTCTTTGGTGAAGCAGAATCTGTGTTCTGTCGTACGCTGTCAAAACGTAAGTCTCCAGCGCTTTGTTCAGCTTTAAGGCTCGTAAATTATGAAGCTGAGTGATGACACTCCAACCACCACTTAGCACCACAATTTGTCCCCACACCTGATTTTCATCCTTCACCAAACGGAGGAGCCGGTCTTATAACGGTTTATCGCGCGGATGAACAGAATGGAACAGTAGCCACCTACGAAATCCTGGCCAGGGAGGCCGGTCCGATCGGTAAAACTCAGGCTCTTGCGGTATTGGCGCAGTTTCCAGCTGTCACACTGTTCAGACCACTTACCAAAGTGGTGCGCGTGGTACTAAATGGATCGGCAGGAGCGAATGCGGGTGGAGAAGGTGGAACTTTCTTTGCCCCGCCACTTGTGTCCGGCCAGACATACCAGGTCGCCGTAAGGGCCTGTGTTGAGGTAATAATTACACCTACTGAAATGAAATCAGTAGATATTTTGTCTATCTGGCCTTTGAAAATAATATAAAATTGGAATCCTACTACTCGATTTGCCATCTTAATGCTGGGAGTTTTATAGCAGATTGCTGTCATGACAAACGCTTGACTATGTATGTCGGCTTTGCGTTTTTTCTCCATATTGAGTTTTTTTACATCAGTGACATGTCATTAATAAAAGTTGACTTTTCTTTGTGAAGAAAATAAATAAAACCGTATCTTCCAGATTTTAACCGGCAAAAAGAAAGCTAAAATCTAATTTTTTTGAGTTGTGGATGGAGCTGAAAGCATATGGCATTGTGCGTTTATAAGACAACCCCTATCTATTTACCCACGCTGATATATATAATTTCCTGGTGCCTTCGTTTATTTTGCTAGGGTCATGATGCAATTGCCTCAGAGGTTAATCTTATTAGAGGCGGAGACTTGAGTGCAGCCTCGCTCTGCAGTACGAGTGATTGGTCGGGTCTGGAACCGAGAAATTCCGACCTATCAAAAACAAACCAATCAGCTCCTCAGGTCCGATATGACCTTGAGGAAGATGACCCATTATGGCCAGCCATTGTGAGAGAAAACATAAGCGCTATTGCGACTGCAGTGCAGACGCCTTTCAACGATGCTGCTACGGGTAGGTTATAGGGTCCAAAATCAAGCTTTACCAAAGCCAAAGTGGGAATATTTATGTCTTGCAGTGGGCTGGATATTTCACGAAAGGTTTAGGAATGAAAACTATATGAATTTGGGACTAGCTTTGTTACGAATGTACAGAAGGGTTGAGAGATTGCATGTATTCGGCGAGATTGAGTGTAGTGTGGGCAGTAGGATGTTACAATAAATGACGTAAATGCAGTAGTGTCACCAAAATGGTGAAAGAAATAAGGCAAATCAAGAAGTCCTGGTAGCTAAATGTATAATCGAAACAAATGTCACTCTACTACAGCAGAGACGGTGACTGAATAGAGGAAAAAGATCCGGCTAGTCAGAGAGTATCATTCTCTTATTAGTTCCACGTCTGGGAGAGCAGGATTTAATTTCCACGGAAATTTACTTCCCCTCCGCCAATGGGATTGTCCACGTGGCACATCCAGTCCCACGTACTGCAGCTGTCCCCATCGCTGGTTCCTCGCACAGTGACCGGATCCAGATCATCGTCGCCGCTCTCTCCATCATCGTCGGGGTCTGCATTCTCGCCTTCGTCTGTTTCCTTATAATCCGACACTTCCAGCATCATGGAGGTCATTCTCATCACCAACACGACCATCATGGTGGGAAATTTGGTGGAAATGGCAACACCATAAAGCCACTGGAAGCCGCTCAGATGAAAATTAATCACGGAGGAATTTCCAACTTTTCCTCCCCCACTGCTCCCCTCCTCCGTTACGAACCTTTAGTGTCGGGTCAAGGGATGCGTTCGCCTGATGGCCTTTCACTACACTCAGAGCTGCTGGGTACCGCATCGCTCGGCCGCTTTGGTGGCAATGAAAGTGCGGCGATGATGTCAATGGGTAGCAATTGTGTTTGTTCAACACCGACGGCAACTGGAACGGCAGTTTCGTTGGAAATGCTATCAATGGGATTAGGGGGGCGGCAACCACCACCACCCTACTTCATGAACCCACCGCCTCCGCTTATACCTGACATGTTAAGTGAGTAAACAGTTTCAAGGCATCCAATCGGTCTTGTATTTTTAGCTCATGTTTAGTAAACAGGAAAGCGCGACTACTAAAGATCCTAAGGCAAAAAGTAGAAATCTTGGTTGGAAAAAATAATAGGTCAGCTCAGAGCGTTACTAGCAGTCTAACTCGACTATTTTAATTGAAAACGGCCAGTGGATAGATTCAAAAGTTCTTTTCTGCTTGTTTATTGGTCAGATGACCAGGTGACATCCCAGCCGGTGGCACTCGAAGACTTGGCCTCCCACGTTGAGCAGTTGAAACAGAACCAAGGTCTCCTTCTTTCTGCAGAGTTCGAATCCATTGATCCGGGGGGTCAATTCACTTGGGAGCACTCCAGCCGCCCCGCAAATCGACCCAAAAATCGATATGCCAACGTAGTCACCTATGATCACTCACGTGTCATTCTTAGTCGAGTAGATGGGGATCTAGAAAGTGATTATATCAATGCAAACTTCCTTGATGGCTACAACCGAAAACGAGCCTATATTGCCACCCAGGTTTGTGACAATTACTTATTCGAAATTTCTTTTGAAGTTACGAAGTTGCTTTTGAGAAGACAGCTAATGTCTGCTTTGCTCTTTGTCCAAGGGACCACTTCCAAATACAGTTTGTGACTTTTGGCGAATGGTGTGGGAGCAGCGTTCGAGCACAATTGTTGCGATGACTCGATTGGAGGAGAGAGAGAGGATCAAGTGTGAACAGTACTGGCCAGGCAGTGGTCTACCGGCCAGCTCGCGACTCAGTCCAACGAAAAGCCTTGATTGGCTCTCACCAAGGACAACCATAATCACAAACTCCGAGAGTGCGCAAACTATTGCAACTGCTTCTGCTTCGCCAATAGCAACCACAACGTATGGACAGATTACTGTCAGTTTGATGGAGGTTATGGAACTGGCTTATTACACTGTGAGGACCTTCACAGTCCAGAAAAGTGGGTAAGTCATCGAAAAGACAAGTTTTTTGTAAATCATTGAAATCCCCAAAGTAAATGCTGAAAAAGGATAGCCATCGAGGTTGAACCCATCACCGATTGACCATCTTTGAGGTATTAAAACTACACGGTTGTAATTGGGATGGAAGCCTTCTGTACTAATCGGTGTCTGAGGGTTGATGTTCTGCCTAATCAAATCAGCTTTTCGATGAAGGCGTTAGAGGTTTATCTAAAGCTTGAAACAATAGAAATAAAGCGCCGCCACGTGGCGATGGAAATTATCCCTTATATTAATTCAAAAAAAGATCTCAATGCATCTAGACCTTTTAAAATGACAGAGCTACCTATAAGGACATCACTTTCTTGAACGGAAAACAAAAGGTGGAAGATCCTTTTGTTCTCATTACCTTAACTACATTTTAGATTACTTTAATCCTTACAATAACTCAGCCCTACCTTTAAGTGGGATACCACATACTCTGTCCTTTAATTCTCCCACTGCAGATGTCGGGAGAAACGTGAAATTCGGCATTTGCAATTCACCGCATGGCCAGATCATGGAGTCCCCAATCATCCTGCACCTCTACTCATGTTTCTACGGCGAGTGAATGCAGAATTTGTGCCTGATGCTGGACCAATCATCGTTCACTGCTCAGCTGGAGTTGGACGCACAGGTTGGTGCTGACGGCTGGTCGTATTTTTGTTGATTTTGGCATTACTATAGCCGGTTTAAGTTATTCTACCCCTAAAATCAAAAAAAAAAAATTTAACTAAATTGTCATAATCTGTCTTCTTAAGAGATAAGAAAACTGCGCTGTCACATATATGTGACACAGAGAGAAGACGTGCTTATAACTAATCTGCCTAGATCAAAAACTTCTTATTTATGTACTTGTTGCCATTTAACGTTTAGCCCCGAACCTCTCAAATTTGCATTTATAAATATGCTCACAAATATATAAGTGGTAATCTGGACTTCTTTATTACTAGGTGCCTACATAGTGTTGGATATTCTCCTACAACAAATGCACCACGAGAACGCAGTCAACGTCCTCGCTGTGGTAACTCAACTTCGTAGTCAACGCAACTTTGTGGTTCAAACCAAAGAGCAGTACGTTTTCATCTACGAGGCCCTATTAGAGGCCGCGTTGAGTGGAAATACCGAGCTTCCAGCGCGTCAGCTGCGTGGTCACTGGCACAAACTGATAGTACCCTGCTGCTCTGAGGAGGAGTCAATTACAACGCCACCGCTGGAGCCAAATCATGACCCTCTTGCTAACACCGGTCTAGCCTTAGAGTTCGGTCAACTGGTTAACCAGACGGCTGGACCATTTGCGGCGCTGATTGCGCATCAATCCCCAGGCGGACTGCTAGCCTGTTCCGATAGTTTTACGGACTCACCAGGGAATGTTCTGAGTGGAGCTTTACCGGTGAGTGTCGAAGAAGATAATTTCTCCTCTGGTAACTCCAATTCGAGTAAGGAAGGATGCTAGTTTTTCCAGAAAGCCCACATTAGTGGATACAAAGTAAGAAAAAGTAATTTTGGTGGTTGTTTGGATCGCCGCAAATTGCTCACCGAATCGGAATAAAAAGTGGTTCTACTTGATTTATTGCTTTAGGTAAACATACCGAAGAACAGGTGCGGCACCGACTTCGTACCCTATGAGAGTAACCGAGTGAAATTATCGTCAATTAGAGGGGTTGAGGGTTCTGATTACATCAACGCCTCCTACGTCGATAGTTATCGGTCGAGATCAGCTTTTATCGCTACGCAGACACCAATGATGCCGTTTGTGGAAGACTTCTGGCGAATGATATGGGAATCTGGTTCTTGCATAATAGTGCAACTCGATTCCTACGAATTCGACAAAGAAGTACGTGAACATCCTGTCACTTTTATTGATTGCATAAGTAGATGTATATCTTTTGACTACTTAACAGGCAAATTTTGGGTTATGAATTAAATTCGGGAGATTTTCTTAATTTTGTTCGTTAACTGAGAAGAAAACCACAATGCTTTTTTTCTAGCCACCCTATTGGCCAGTGGAAGAAGCAACAAGGTTCGGATTTTTAGTGGCAGAGGCCCTGGCTTCTTACGATATGACGGCTTATGTTCTACGGGAATTCCGATTAACGGATGCCAAGAGCAGTCAATCTCGAATAATTCGTCTTTTTGAAGCTTCACACCTCTCTCTTCTGATTGGCCGAGCAATAACCTCCCCTCGACACATGAACCAATCCGGTGCAAGTGATGTTACGCTACCACCTTCACTACCACCATTGGCTGAGTGGCTGCCCAATCGCTCATTGGCAAATAATACTCCTACTTTTGGGTTCATCAATGGTGGAACTAATTACTATCGATCTGTCTCTACTGACAGTTATGGGAAGGGTGTATTTGACGACCTGACATGTCAAAAGGCTGCTGTCAGTCTGATTGACCTGATTGAACAGGTGCATAAAACTCAAGAACAATTTGGGCTGGAGGGACCAATCACCGTTCACTGCAGGTGAGTTTCCACTGCGATTAGTAAATAAAATAAATTGCTAAATAAAGCGAGGTAATTTTGAATAACGTGACAGTATTAATAAGAAGTGTTTTAGTGATATTGAGAACTGGGGTTTTGGAAAAAAAGAATGTCAAAAAAACCAATTTTACGGGGTTGGAATTGCATTTAAGTCGTCTCAGCATAGCTTCCTACTTTTACACCGTTATGTGCACTTACGTCGGTGTCAAATTAGCACTTTCAAAGCATCTTCAACGTAGAGTAATTGGATACTAGGACTTAATCATCATCACATCTTGGGGGAGTCTGTTTTACTCCATCCTTGGTCTAAAGCGAAAACCCATCCCTGTTTTCAGCGTGAAAATGCTCTTGAACCCTTTATCCCACAGAAAGATTTGTCTCTGGTGAGTCGATAATGCATCTAGGGTCAGGTAATAAATGTTCTGAATGTCCTTCATTAGGAATGACAGTCAAAACTGTGGGATGGAAACATCAAGCCTTGTGGCGTCGCTGCTGCTATTTCGACAATGAGTGGCTAGGCGTTGTACTACTGCAGTGTGTTACAAGTTGACTCTACGGGTGGATGCCCGCTCATTTACTCTAAAATTTGTTAATCGTCACCCGTTAGTTCATAGAAGACTTTTGGCTGCTGCCTTGATTAAAGGTGTCTGGATTAGCTCGAGCTAGGTCGCATAATAGGCTATGCCTAATATTTCCTTCATGTACATCTCTCGTATACAAGAACATTTATATTGTTTGGCATAACTTATAAGAAGCTCCACTCATTCGATGTCAGTAGACATGATATCTATGTTTTAACAGGACCGGGACTGGCTACACAGGCATGTTTCTGATGCTCTCCATCCTCTTCGATCGAATGCGTGTCGAAGGCGTTGTTGACGCCTTTCAGACAACAAAACTACTCTGGTGGCAACGACGTGGTCTTGTCGAGACCCCCACGGAGTATGCCTTCTGCTATACCACTGCACTGGAGTACTTAAATCTCTACGAACCACTTCCCGTCAACCAAACGACTACACAAACGCCCTCTTCCACCCTCTCCTAGATTGTCCAGTCTATTTAATTTTCTTTCCACTTTTCTGGTGCTCTTTCACGCCTACAGTTATACATACCCTCTCTCGAGTACTTTCTTCAAAAACCATGAATAACTTGCTTGGTGTGTTCGCCTCCCGCCAAGCATTTCTGTACATAGTCAGACCAAGGTTTGGTGTGAATGAATGTATGTAAGCACTGATAGCCTGTGACCAAATGAGAGTAGAAAATGTCAAACATGTTCTGAGTTTTCTTTCAAGATCGGACTGAGGTGCTATTCGACATGTTTCCCACCAAGGTTTGACTTTATCCTATCCTTAACCTTCTGTTGGTGGAAGTGGCTTTCTTTATCATAGATGGTGGTCTTTGTTGATAAAAACATTCAAAGATTATTGTACTATTAGAAACCTGAACTGAATTTGATTGGTTTTGCAATAAGGATTCTATCCTGCATACCATTTGGTGCAACCAGTCATCCTAAGCTGGCGAAAAACGTGCGTCACGTATACGTGACGTAGGTGCAGAATTCAAAACCTCGATCAGATATTTCAAGGACGTGAATACCCTATACGGGCATTTAATGACCACTGATTTCTTCAAAAACATCAAGTTACTGCAGTAAGCAGTACGAGAAAATCAAGAAATCCTTCTATTTTCACCTCAAATTCTCAACCAGCATGACTCAGGCGGCAAAAAAGCTTCAAATGAAGGGTAAATATAGGAAAAATTTCAGCAAAAGTAGTGCTTGTTGTAATACCGATCGCAAAAGGACCGAAAGCATAACCCATTGAGTCGTAAATTACGCGAGTGGGTGCTACCTAATAGGCTGTAAGAAAGGAAGACTTGGAAGCATTGAAGAGGAAAGTACACATGAATGACTTATGCAAAAGGANATTCATCAATTTCTACCTCTCGCTTACCGTCAATGGTAGTGCAAAGAGAGTACCTTTGAGCTGGAGTAGAGCACAGAATAGAAGAGTGGAGTGGAATCGACACAATCGAGTCTAGGCATCCAGATAACTTTACTGGCCTCTAAGACCTCCACTAAGATTTTAAATACGCAAAAAAAAAAAAACAGAAAAAAGCAGTATAGTACACCGGAGTAGAGTGGCTGGGTAAGTGGTGAGATGCCGCTCTGCTGTAACCAAGGGGTACATGCTGGGCCTACCAATCAGTCGGTTTGGCATCCACTTAACCAACAATCCTTTCTCTTGGCGTCATTTTTATTTCTACAGTCGTGTGACAAAAAATAGGTTTCTTTCGTAAGCACTGCTCCGCATGACAAGGTTGGCTACTTTTGCCGCAGTTGCCATGGTATCACGTAGTAAACATTTTTATCAGTTAATCTAAATTTTAAGACCGACATTGCACACGTTATAAAACAACGATGGCGGTGGAGCTATAAAACTCAATCAAGGAATCTGAATAAAGAATTTGTCTTATGGAAGTTGGAATGAAGTCGGGTTTGCATCAGCCAGAAGTACTGGTGGAAATACAACTTCCTCTCTTACATAATCCTAGTAGGGGAGTCGCCTTAAGAACTTTACTTTCAACAGGCAGTGGCTTCGTTTTCGAACCCGTAAAATACACAAATTTCTATATGCAGGAACAATAGTAACAAATCCCTTGTCAAAATTTTACAGGGAAATGATCACCATAGCCCAGACGGCCATTAGTTTTGATTAAGCTACAAGCCTTGACGCCTCAAGTCAGGGACCTAGAAAAACACTACCATCGTGTCCAAACGAAATCACTCCGTTTACAACAGGCGACTGAGGGCAAGCACAAATGAAGGGACAACTGCACCATATTAGCTGTACGATCAGTTGTCAATCAGGTGTCACAATACACATTTACACTACTCAGCACGTCAAATGCCCTCCAGTCTAAAATTGGCAGCAGAATTTAAACGATGCCTTGTACTGCCACGAGAAGACGTCTCTGTCCTTCATGCCAGAAGGCAACGTCATGGAAGGGAATACACGTCCCCGAAGCTCCAGCGTGGAAGTAGGAAACCTTGGAAAAGATTAGAAGCATGCATCTCCTCTTCTCGGCGCCTTAACCGGCAGTTCAAAGGAATTTTTCACAATCGAGTGAATATTTGCCTTTGATTTACATTTACAAATGGAATGGTTTTGGCTCCATTAAAGCTTTTTTTCTCCATAATAAATTAGAATAGAAGCCCTATGAAAAATCAAATGGTCCAGTGAAAGTTCACGGTATCAGAGAATTAAAATAGAAGTTTGCATGCAAACAGCGGAGGGACTTTTCAAATCCCGCAACGAAAAATTTGCTGAAGTATGTTTGCTTGAGACTCGATTATCTAACTAGCGAGCTGAAAGGGAGGCCTTTTGACTAAACTGTGCGACATTTCACTGCAGCTATCCATTCACTAACCAACGCACACCGCTATGGAAGGTGCAACATCATCTCAGTAAGATTTTGATTCTGATTGCAGCCTGTGTTTGTGCAGTGGGATTAGACATCCATCTACCCGATTTGGTATATCACGACGTAATTCATGCGAAAAAGTAAAAAATTAGTTCTGCTTTTAATTCATTTTTCTTGGATAAAGCCAGAAAGTTTTAACCATATAAGGAAGCCCCCTGTCCCTTACCCTCATAACCCACTCCTCGTTTCTAAATTCACATTGTAAAGCTAAAATTTGGGAACACTTCCCTATTGCCTAGGAGACAGAAGGGAGAAAGCAAAGGCTGATAGTATTTTTTTCATTTAATAAATATTATCTCTTCCATTCACTAGCACTTGCCTATTAGAAACCTTAATTTTGCAGCTTTGATAAGTGGGTTTCGGATTTGGCAGGTAGGGCTAGACGTCATGGGATAGACGTGACCAGAATGGTTGAATGTACAATATATCCAGCAAATTCTGATCTCTGATAATCTTTAGGGTTATGGAAGATGATGGTAATTTCTTACCTCATTCCTATATCTCGCGATCTCATAATCAAGGTAACAGTTTACATCTGGATGATGTCGAACATTGTCTAACATTAAATAAAACTTACCGCTAGTTAAGTATTACCCAAGGGACATCTTCATGTATCGGCACCACCTTGCTCCACTTCAAATAGTCTGCACAAATCAGTATTGCATGGCTCTAAATATCTATGATAATGTGGCCTTCTGAATGCTTTCTTTGGACATTCCGAACTATTATTTTCGAAGGCTGAGTACCCAGCGTACCTGATAGACGACTGACCTACTCATTGATGTCCACTGCTATCAAGATCGTCTGTTTTAAGCTACTTTGAGGTAGATGTAATTTCCTGAAAAGCGGACAAATCTGTGGTTTTTATAATGCAAAATAGCAAATTTGACCACACTTTTCTGGAAGGGACCTTTGAAATGACTTTGTGAAACTCAGCAATCTGTCGGTGGCTGTTTAACACTTCCATCCTAACATATTCGACAAACGCCTGCGCAGCCGAAGAAATTTTTTAAACATCAAATGTTGAAAATAACTGAGGTCAGCACTTAATCATTAGGTGTAAATTTTACGGACAAATTTGGACGCCGCTTCTTCAACTTAAGAACTAAGTCAGGATATTAATTCAAAGTTACAATAGCTACCGCAAACCCATTCTCCCTTGCAGCGATATCAAGAAAAACCGTGATAATTACCACTCCTAAATCTTCTGCAGAATACGCAAACTGCTTGACTGAATCCGACAATTTTTTAAAGGCTTGGTATTGCTTCTTGTTTAGAGATGTCTAGTACCTCACAAGAACGAGACCCCCTTACGTCGTCCGACTGAACGAGATATCGAGGTTAACTTAAGTAGCTAGACACCATTTCAGTGTCTATTATTTCCAACCTACGTTTGAAGGAGGCATAGAAATCGGTTGCATTTGAAGTGACCAAAACATCACCTCTATGGGTAATGTTAAAGCTTAGGAAAGGCGAAAAGGAAAACAAATAAGAGAAAAAAGGAAGAGAAGGCGAAAAGGAAGCCTTAAGTGGAAAAACAAAACCTCAGCGCTGATAAGAATAAATGAATTCGTCAACAGCATGAACTGGCAAAGGATGGCATGCAGTAGTACACTAGCCAAGGACTAATCAGGTAAATTATTTTAAACATAAGCTCAAATTAACTTTTGGTTGCCACCTACTACTTTTATTCTGTAAGTAACATCGGTTAATTTGTTTCTCTATAATGTGATAGACGCTAATCTTAGTCACAAATATCTATAATCTCAAACTTAGTACAAACTTTTCATCAGGCGAATTATTCATCTCCTGCTTCATTTATTCACCTGCCTAAAACTTCGAAATTAAGGAATGGAGAATAGTTCTATTCCACAAACACTTGACATGACATTCAGGCAGTGTATTTCATTTCTGCATCCCATTCTGGCTACCTCCTGCAAATTTCAATAAAAAATTTTAATCAAGCTTGTAAAACCTCTAAGGAGAAAGAATCTCACTCGAAAGCACCTCAGCGCACTCATGAAGAGATCACTGAATCTACCAACACTTGCCTTCCTTATTTACCTTGACCTTCTGGTTGCCAAGATGTAAAATATTTGACACCCAATATCTGCACCACGTCTAAACTTATCTCTTACGCATCGCCAACTCCACACGATTCCCTACAGGTGCGTGCAAGGGTTACACATTGATCATATTTTCCGTTTGGCACCCGGACAAAATTACGGTATCCACACAACTGGCAGAGGGCAAACAACAACTTGAAAAGACATCTTTTTAGTATTTCCCAGGTTCAATGAAGAGATTTCCTACAAAGTGTAAGGTTAGGTTGAGAAGGATGTGCTTTAAGTGCCGACCTTGTACTTCTTCCTCGAAATGCTTCCAGGTGGAGGAAGAATCAAGGAGAACGTAAGCAGACATGCGTTGTCTTTCCGTTTTCAGCTCCACACGTAATAAAAAAGAAGTTCATTTTGCTACTCATATTACAGCTTCTCTAACACGCACTGTTTGAGCCACCTTAAAGTACTTTTGCTGTGTTCTGTTCAAGCAGTTACCCTGTTCCGCTTCTTCTAGCACGACGATGCAAAGGCTAAATATATTTCTATTTTCCCCTCCCCGCCCAGAAAAAATTTTTCTAATACAACCGCTGATTGCTGATGCGTCAATTTAAGGCCCGTTGGGTGTGTTCACCTATTCAAAACCAATACAGAAAATGAACATTAAATATCCAAAACGCTGCTCTCCATTAGTGAAAATGTGGAGGTAAATGGAAATTTTGTGTTGGTTTCCTGTGCTGCTTGTAAGTAATTGACCACACCCAATGAATAACAGATTCTCTCGCATTTTCCAACACCAAAGGGTGTCTGGCGGCCTCCTTTTTCGCCCCGAATTCTACTCCAAAATGTACAGCTTTCTGTAAAATAGCTTTACTTTGGAGCAGCTAGATTTAATGCACATTGACACCCCTGCAGGTGAACATTGACATGGACAGTCCACTACGCACATACGCCCGCGCAAACACAAACAAACATAGAAAACAGACACATTGACCTTAGCATGACGTGACACATAGCTTAAAAGTGCATTGTAGATGATAAATAAAATCGTCTGAGCAAGGATATGCCCCTTCCCAACATGAACAGTGAAATTCAAAGGCCACTTCTCGGCGGAGGTCAGTCAGTTAGCTGACTATAGAAATGAAATGTAGAGCGGATTTTTTAAAATACGGGCAAAAAGTGAGGATCAAATAAGCAGCTCTTCAAGCTCATTGTCATTTTTTAAGTAAACATCTATTTACGGAACCGCTTCCTTCCTTTTTTGCATGTAGGTGCAAAAAAATACTACGATACACAAGTAAATATTGCTGTTACACGCATTCCCTTCATTATCAAGCGTGGAGAACCTTCCTTCCTTTGAGTGGTTTACCACTAACGTCAAGGTGATGAAATTGCTTCTGGATGACAAATCTTGGTGCTGCCCACCCCAACTCCTCTGTGCTCTTGAAACCGATTTTAACCCTCCACGCCAAGACGACGAGATTGCATAGCATCACATGCTTTTAATAATCATTTTGTACAGTTTCCAAATGGTGGAAAAGTAGCAGGGTAGGCATTAAATAGACCCTAACGATAGACCAACTTGGACCTATACTCTATTGCATGCTATGCACAAGTGTTAACAACGTACAAAGGTAGCTTTAGTGGACGTCTAACCACTTTTCAAGTATACCATAAAAGTGTGAGAACTTTTCCTACATATACAAAAGGTGTTTTTCTAATTGTGATTATTCACGCGTGGTGTATGATCTGCTTTGATATCCCCCCAAGGAGTGAATGCAACTTGTGAATGAAATTGGGGCCAACTGAACCCCTCATGCAAGCATCACATGCCCTAGGTCAGTCTTCACAGAATTTGTTAAAAAAATTGGCACCAGTGACTTTGCTAACTCACGGCTCCTTTTCTTCTCAGACAGCTTATGGAATTTCAAGGTCGACAGACAAACATTGACTCACTAGTTCTCCCACTGCGAGCCACTTCTACTACCCATTGTCTACTTCTGTTGATGGCACTATGGCTGGCAATAAGATCATGACCACCGATAGCAGGTTGTTGTGGCAAACATTCCTGGGTAATCAAGAAAACTTCTTTTTCCTCATCTCGTATTTGCAAGAAGCATGCTTCAGTCCGCAAAAAAGCTTCAGAAACAGTGCAGACATGAGAGCATTTGCTAGTTGAAGTCGAATTAGATGTGATATGGTTGTAAAAGGCCCAAAAGCAGGACTTAGGGGGTGAAATTTATACAAAGGGGCATTAACAACCTGCCTCTACAAAAGGAGGATTCTGTAGCATTGAAGAGGAAAGTACATCTAGATGTCACAGAGTTGAGCAACTCCAACATGAATTAAGCGCCAGACTGTCCAGCAATTCCCACCTCTGGTAGGGAGATAAGAGTGTCTTTAAACAAGAGCAGAGAACATTGCAAAAGAGAGCGCTGCAAGACAGAGGAGAACAATAGAATAGAGTGGAGTAGAGTAGAGCAAAACACAGCACTGTGTTTGAGAGTTGAGATGGCTTTCCTATTCCCCAAACATCTCCACTAAGCTTTCGACTACTCAGTCAACCGGAGTTGACATTTTTGCATTATCTGCAAACAAACCTAATCTGGACAAGCCCATTCGCACCAAATCTATAAGATCACTTCTCCATGACAAATCACTTGTCCGGATCGTATCGGAAATCTTGCTTCAATGGAGGCTCCCAAGGTTCGTTCAAAGGAGGAATGAGCCAACTGCAATCACGTTGAATGCTACAACAGCTCAAGGTAGCCCAAGTACTGACGTCTTCACTGCGAAGTAAATGTAGTCAAGATTTCACAGTGGTCTATTCAACATGGTAACCACAGTGCAGAGAAGACGTAAAACATCATTTCTGTTGTTTCAAAACAGTCGAGGCATACTACAAGGAAAGAACTGGTACAATGCATTGTACCAAGTGACCGGTTGGATTGATGGATTTTACAGCAGGCTAAAACGCTTTCCACCTCCCTTTAAAATCGTCTCCAACTCCACACGACTGGGTGAGTAGAAGTAGGCACCGGTGAGGGGACGAGTGAAGTGGAACAACCCGTCCTCGATACGATCATGCGACAGGCCTGCCATGCGATCCAGTGCCCAGTCGAAGATTTGCGGTGACTTCGTGTAGGCTACAAAGAAGAGACCGCATTCACCTGAGGCGATGCCGTATGGTAGTGAGTGGCGCACCATTCGTCCCGTCATGCCGCTTGTGTCCGCAGCATCTGAAAATGTCAAAAACATTTGATTACCTTTCCACTGCTTGCTTCAGCTACTACATTAGCTCACTTCCCTCATGGGGGATCTCTCTCTACCAAGGCGGAGATGGGATGAAAACACCTTGTTGCCTAGCACAAGTGTACTATCAAAAAGGGATGCTATTACAGCGGCAATATAAGCTTTAAGGTGTGTCGAATCTCCTCCTACCACTACCACTACTAAATTCTTTAGTCAAAAGGCAGACGATGGTACTAGTGTGGGTCCTCATCCAACACCGCATGGTGAGGAAAGGAGCAACAGCCAAGTTAGGAGTCAACCCCGACCCCACGACCATCTTATACCGGATACAAAATCACCATGTGCGCAGAAGACTTCAGGCGCAGTTTGCTCGCTGACGACACTCCCATCCACTGCTCATCCAATCCACTGTGAGACATTTGATCTGAAGATGTAACTGCGCGGGAGATAGATGTACGACTACCCCATCTATGGTGGTTATCATTCCACAGTTTCAATAGCTGCTTCTGCGAAAGTTCTGCTAATGGCTTTGTAAGCCTGTTACACCTGGTCTATCCACCATCTAACGCGGAGTTTTACAAGAAATCATCCACTCTCACTTAGCTTACACTGGGTGCCACTGCGGACAGGATGTTCCGTAATGATTCAACCAATGCCGCGTGGGAGTTATGGTGCATTGTCCAAACGTTACTATTTGTGGGAATGTTTAAGCAGGATAGTTATGCTTTCACACCCTCTAAATATCCCTGCAAATCAATGCCTCCCCTGTAGCAACAACAAAGAATATCTGTTTCCATTGCAATTAGTGGTGAGAGGGACCTTCCCCAAGTACAAGCAATATGCATTTCTCAATTCTTACCAAGTAGTTCTATTTCTTACTCAAGTAAAACCACTTCTAGATGGGGAAAAGGCAATACAGTATCACAACGGCATTAAAAGTCACAAATGAGGCAATTGCCCACCACCTGTACTTCCACATCGGCTTTCAAGGCGAAAGTAAACCTTTGAACATGCAATTCCATAAATCTATTCCAATGAGTAATTAAAGGATGCATTTCATGTGCAACTCACCACGTTTGACCCGACCAAGATGCGAGGTGGGAGCAATCGGTTCTATCCTAATGTTGTCCGTTTTTGTACGGCCGACATTAGCCTCCATTGTTTTCACTACAAAAAGGAGAAAAGAAATGGAATGTACGTTTTTTTTACCACTGATCCTGAAAAACCCTCTAGCAGCCTCCTCCTACTTAGCATTGGTTTTTCTCTACAAAAATAAAGTGAAATGCGTTGCTGAAAATAAATGACGCAAAGAGAGAGGGATTCCCATTGTTAAAGCTAATTTGTTTGATTAAATTATGACGAGATATTTTACTGTGACGCAAAGTTGGGAAAAAAGGATGCTATTGAGTCAATTTGTTCGCTACCGTATAGTCTGCTCCATTCCATATTCCTCTCTTCAGGACGACAGACAAAGCTACTCGGCCCATGCCTTCGTCCAAACGCACGCGGTGATGAACATTCTACATTGATGATAGAAATCCATGAACTCTTTCAACCGTCCGCGATTCGATGTTCTTCATAGTAGCATTCATACACCCTCCTCATCCAAACAGATAAATCCTTCCGGATTACTTTTTTGATTATTTTGACGCTGATGCGGTGGTAAAACCCTATTCTGGGACTATTTCGATGCCTATCTTTTAAGGACTTTCAAGCAGGGAAGTGCGAGATCAAATACAACGGCTTCTTTACTATCAGGTTCAAGCAGTATGTTCCTACCTCTAACACCAGTTTTGCGCATGGATGTCAGATATGAGCCCTTTGGGTGCGAAACATGGCAAAAAACACGTGACACAGAAAGTAGCAAGTCTATGATTGCGTAATGTTGAGGCAGAATCGTGACGGCTATGTGGGAGCAGGTAATTGCAAACGCTACAAAAAGTACCTCCTTTAAAACATTTCTCAGCAGTATGTCTCTCTACAGCATAATATTAACCTTTTTTGGAGATGACGCAACTATCATTGGAAAGAGGACCGAAGCGCGTGTGACGTACCATTTTCGGAGGCAATCTTCTTCATGTCGTGCAACCATCGCTGAGTGAGGACGTAGCTTCCACCCGTTGTCTCGCTAACTGCAGCTTCAATGCGATCAGTCTCGTCGGCAGGATTTGCTGTGCCTGTAACGAAACAGAAAAGCCAAAATAATTATTCGAGCAACCTAAGCGACCGACTGAAAAACTCTCCTGGGATTGACGGCATAGACACTGGTAGACTATGGTAGTTAATGAGGATAATAACAGCGGAATTATGACAGGTGGAAATTGTAGCATCAAAGAAGCAATAAGAAATTAATCTTGCTTATCACAAGTGGAGAATAAAGTTGTCGGGTGTAGAAATCTGTCCGTCAACGAATAGGGCAACCAGATGGATATACGAATACTTGATAGGTTCGGAGTAATGGATCACAGTCGAAAAGAAAGACAAGAATGTAAGCGAACCCACCATCGACAAATCCGCTCAAATCGCGACCATCGCGATAGGTAAACCCGTACGTCTCCTCTGTACTTTGCACCGCACCTTTCGGCATGTCGTCTAACACCGCCTGAGCTAATTCGAAGAGCTTTCCTTGCTCTCCACACACTGCGTGCACCAAAATATCACCACCTTTTTAAAAAATAAGCAAAAGTTTGCAAGTATATAAGTACTTTTAAAAAAATAACTTCCGACTGCTTTATAACTCGACGGTTATCCGATTCAACGCCATCAATTTACCACCTGTCGAAAACGAATTTTTCGGTCTATAGAAATCTGCTTTTTCAGAGTCAGTATTTCTTTAGGCTTCTAAACATCAGCAAACTTGGTGAATTCGCAAAAATAATACACCTAATTAACAGATGGCCTAATAATGTAATCATAATTAACTTCCGTTCTGGAAGGCACTTTGTGCCCTTAGAAACAAGGCAAAACTGTGAAATACTAAAGCCGAAACCTATTTAGGTATTTTAGAATGATGGAATAAAAGGTGTTTGCGAGCATGTGTATTTAAGGAAATATCTTCAAAAATGAAAATATCAACTGCAGTAGGTAGAAGAAGCCTCTATGTGGATATTCTGTCATAATCTTTAAATTGCTCGGCTGGTTTGAGGGCTAGGTGGATGCTAAAATGCCGCCATGAATTACTATAGAAACATAAACTGGCGTTATTGCAGTGGAGATTTCTATCAGTCAGGCAGCCAGCCATTCAGAAATTTCTTCTTTTAACGTCATTTCTACTTCCACCTTTGTGTAACAAAAATACGCCTCTTTCGTAGGTTCCTTTCTACAGAACAAAAGCAACCACGTTTACCTCGGTTATCAAGATGTCATGTGCAGATAAAATAACTGCTAAGTACGAACACCAAGAGTCCTCCGTCTGAATGGGTACTATTGTGGAAACCCTGTCGAATTTTATGAAGGGATCAGAAATCAAACGGTTGGCTTGTAGTTCAACACCGACAACCGTCAGGTCTAAGATTTACACATCGTTAATAAAGCGTTTTTGAAGGATATTTATCTCTAAATTGAAATGCCCCTACCGTTCACTTAAAGTGTGATTCCAACAGAGATTAGGGATTCCTTACTCGTAAAGGGAACAATATGTATGGTACTTGGATTACCATTCCTATCAGAATTGCCAAATTACAAAAGTGACAAGCCCATTCAGCTCGCAGTGTTTTAGTCAGTGATTACACGCCCGCAGTCTTTGAAGTCAAAACAGTCTCAGAGATGATTTTACGACTGAATAACAGTTCACACTAACTATCTGCGTCACTACGCAGCACCATTCCAGTAGCCACTACAATAATGCAAAGTTTTACAATGGACATACTTCAATAAGAGCTTCTCAGGAAGCAAACTTTGCACTAGAGTAAGGTGAGATCGAAAGTCTTATGGTTAATAATTACAGTATGTGGTGAAAATTTACCGGTTGAAGGCATCTGCGCCACTTTGCCCTTGCGTTCACTGAAGGGAAAAGGCTCAACTCCATTTTTGTCTGCATCAGGATAGATTTTTGCGAGAAACTCCTGACCGAACGCCAAACCGACTATCAACTCATTGTCTTCATCTCGAATGTCTTTCGGTGAGATTCGATCAACGTGGGCCTAAGCGAAGGTGACAAGAATGGCCTTGAATAAAGTCAGCTAACCACAATTGCTCAAAGTTGATAGCAGTATTTAAAGGAAGGCTTCACACGTGCTTAAGTAAATGACATTTTGCCGCGTTGCCAAAACTTTACTGCCATGGGGAGACGTCGAAGTCCTTTGAGTGTGAAAACAACATTTTTAAGGGGAATGGGGATAATTTGAACAATCCAAGGGAATTTGGTGACATTAGTGGGCCCACTAAACTCTCACCTTATATTTACATTAACAAATGGAACGGGAATTGCTTGTCTTCACCCTTCCTGGGGTGCTTCCTACACAACTAAATGAAATGGAAAAGCACTGAAGGAACAGATGTTCCAGTGCGTCCTCAAGACAAAGGTTTGCAAGCAGAGAGCAAGGAAGCTGCCATACTCCGTATCATGAAAGTTGGTAGTGTAAGTTTGGTCGAGACACTCCTCATTCTCACACAGGGTAAACGATTCACAAATGACTAATTTGAGTCACCGCAGTCTACTATGTTTGCGGCATCATCGAGAGGATCATCATCAATCATGTCCACAATATGGCATAAGGGCTTGCTTTCATTGGCTGACCTTTATCCTATTTGTAGGAGTAAAATTACACAAATTCTACTGACAGAAAATCCCTCTCGAGGTGGCTAGCAATTATCCTCCCACAATACCTATCTAGGTAAATATTTTGGCAGCTGAATTTTTGCACATTGAGGTTACTTTTTAAGGCACAAAACGATAAGCTACTCTGTGTGCCCTATTGAGGGCACAAGCTATATAGGTTTCATAGAAAAGGAAAATGAGATGCGACACATACTTTTACATCCAATAATTGTCCCAAAATTCCCACCTAAC